GTGTTTCTGCTGACATCAATACTGCCTCGGAACCCAGTGGCGTTTGGATCGTTGCCAGGACAATTATAAAGTCGCCTTGGAAACCGACGTCGGATGACAGTGTGAAGCTCACTGTCGGGCCGCAGATAACCGCACAGAAAGTCGCACCAAATGAAGCGCGGTGAGACTGCGCTCCGGCGTGTGTGTGTGTGTATGTGTGTGTGCGGCGGGACAGCTGCGGCTGTTCGGCAATCAAACGGAACCACCACTGCGCTGATTTTCCACCCCAGATTTCCATTTCAAAGCTGTCCTGCATTGTTCCCCGCGCACAGTTTCCTGACTCTTCGTTGCCATCGTCACCGCGGCATCCCGCCTTGTTTAATAGCAATAATCCCGTGCGCTAAGAGAAAATGCGCCCGTGCCAAAATTATGATCATGCTACACGCATGGGCTCCCGGTCAGTTAGGCCAAAAGTAACATATAGTCATTTTATGCTGAAACTGCAGTTACTGTATCATTTTAGCATCGATCTTTTTTGCAACTCATTACCTGGTTTGCATGACAGTCTCATTAGGGATGAACTCTGCGTTACCCAAATGAATATAAAAGCACATTTCCAGTAAGCTTGGCTTCATTCATGCTGGATTCCCTCACTGCTATTTCTCCTCCATTTATTTCATCGGCAAGTACCTACCTGCACTAAAATAATTCAGATGGCCCGTATTGTTATTTATTGTTGGACTAGAGCTTTGATATAAAGTGCTCTGGAGTTCGGTGTATGAAATAAGGCACTTGGTTTGACCCCCCCCCCCCCGTCGAAATTTGCTTCAGGCCCCCAGTCAGTGAAATCGACCAAGATTATCAAATTGAATGTATAATTAGTCAATGTGGTAAATATTGCGCTTGAAATACCAGACTTTTTTTTTTAATGCATTGTCCAATAAAACCAAATAGCCCGTGGGTGTTTTGTCACAGAAGTGAGGTGTTTAGATCGTCATAGTTTTACTCATTTTTTCAACTCAACATGGACACGTTATGTACAGGTACAGAATAGCGAGGTTCTCACACAACTTCAGTTCCTTAGCCAGTGCGACCCCTGGTGGCACGACTGTGAATTCTTGCAAATAACTCTGCCAGACCAAGCTGGTTTTGATTCTTATTTTAAAATCCTTTTGGTCAGACATATAAACCAGAGAAAAAAATCTGGGAGGACTTCTGGGGGGGTGGGGGGGGCAGTTGGTTGGCCTTCGTAGGGCCTTATGTTTAATCCTCTGCATAGCACTTAGCCCTCTTGGGAGGCTGAGAAGGTCATTCTTTAAAAAAATGCTCATCAGCTGACTTTTCAGGAGACGTCCAGCGCCGTTATGCCCAACCACTTCAGTCTGATCAGCTCTGATCTTTACGGTAAAAGGTCAACGTCAAGTATGCAAGCAATAAAAAGCCAATTTGTTCCAAAGGAATTTATAAAGAACCTTTTTCCATATTTTTCCCAAATTGCTTGCAAAGAACTTAAGAACGGCGATGAAGATTGACATAACATTTAATGCTGTAGTCCAACCGTTCAGTACTGTACAGTAACAAAACATGGAAAATGTCAGAAACCCAGGCAGACTGAAAAACTTAGGACAGGCAAAACATGACTAAAGAACTGATCTAAATTAATGCGACATTCCAATTCAAAAGTCAATCAATTCCGCAGCAAAATTCCTATTTACGTAGCTTTGCAGATACATATCATTTACAATTACTGTAACAACTTGCATCAGGTGATCCGAGGATTTATGTCCTAAGTCTTAATCACGCTCGTAGTGGTATTTAGCAGACAATTAAACTTTCACAAACAGAAAACTAACACCTTCCATACGTGTAAGACTATAGCTTAACATTTTTCAGTCTGATTGCGTTTCAGCGAGCAATATAAATGCTCAGAATGCTTCGCACCGTATGATAAATAATTCCCCTGAAAAGCACAACATTGGCAGATCTATTCTAAATTATGCATATGTAGTCTGAATAACGTCGTTAGTCATTTATTAATTAACCGTGCCGTCGTGGTTGCATCTGACTTGCCTGCCTCATCTGCAGTGAAATCTTCATTTGTTCTCATTAGAGCATTGCCGAAAAATCAATGATTGCCTTCTGGGGAATAATTTATTATTTAAAACAGTCCTAATAAGCCTCGTCCTGTCATTCCCAGCAATTTCCATGAGCGAAGACACGCTTTCCTGTGCGGTTTATTTTTATTTGGAGTCATTGTGCATACCGATGTTGGAGTTTCGTTTGACTCATTGCGAGTGTGCCTGGTTTTGTACAATAGCGGATATGTTTAATCATACTCACTACTGCATCAAGAGAGCAGTGTTTGTTTACTGAAAGAGTCGATTGTGTTTCCTCATCCGATCCTCAAATGAGTTATAAAACTGCTACAAAATCATACAATTAAAATGTTTGTTCTTTCATTTAAAAATCCATGCACTGGGGTATAATTAATGCCACGGTATACGTATTGAGACATAATGATGTTGTGTGAAAGCGTCAAAGCACTTGTTTGTTCGTTAGGTATTTACTCATTAGCAGCGTAAAAAGCAGCGCAGAAATGCCTGCCGCACCCTGACCCGTTGGACCACGCCGTGGCACTGGCAGCCACATCAGTCTGCTTTAGTTTAAATCGCAATCTTTGGCTGCTACTGCCTCTTGTGTCAAAAAAATGCTATTGCACTCCGCCGTTTAGTAAATCGAATGTATAAAAAATAACTGGTACACTCTCAGGAAACAAGGTAAATATCTGTACCTCTGGTTGTCACTGGGGCTGTACCCTTGTAATTGTATTTTTTAAGCTACAGAAATGGACTCTGAGGAGCATCCCAAAGGTACAGACAGCATTAATGTACCATCAATGGTACAGAAATGTTCCTTAGACAATTTCTGTACCTTAAAAGGTACAATTACCTACAGCTAAAGGTACAACTGGCAGACAAAATCATTTTATTATATGGATCGGTTTTTTTAACAAAGCTATTTTTAGTTGTGAAACTGGACTCTAAAGTGTTAATCTTATACCGATAATTTAAAAATTATTTCAAAATCTTTCTTGCGTTGCATCCGTTCACAATGCGACAATTGCATGATCGCCCATTGAAATGTCACGATATAGGGTGAGTGACAGAGGCCCTAAAAAAATGGAACTTAATTAAATTGGTCTGGGAGGGGGCTCAAAATCTAAGGGTGCCCCGGGATTTTGCTGTGACTTTCTTACTTCAAAAGTTCAAATACACACACGGATGAAGCTGCAATACAGAAATCAGCCTGTAGGTGTTGCTGTTTTATAAAAGCCCCAGATGGACTACTAATGTAACTACAGTTAATCGTGAAAAAAAAAATGCCTTCATTGTGGCGAAAATCATCCTCATCATTCTGAATGTGGCTAAAAAAGATTCTGAAGACATATTGACCTTGCAATGTTGGATGTAGTGATTGTATGTGTGCATTCAAAGTCGTTGTATGCATATCCAAAAAAGCATGACCGAGCACTTAGATATTAGCCCCAAATATAGGCATCGCGGCCCAGATATCAGAAGATTCAGTGGCTCAGAGAAGTTTCTAGGATCTTCTGTCTCTCCATTTTTCTTATTGCAAGTAAACGAAGGAATATGCAAATGAGGTTGCTGGCCAGACTTCTGGTGCCAGTTTGCAGACCTTATCGGGTTCTGCAAATGCACTGAGCAATTCGTCCGACAGAGCCCTTAATTGCCTTCCCTGAGCCGACTCCAGATTCTCCTTACTTGTCTTGGCTCTGCTCATCTCTGCTCGCGGATGACTGCAGCACCATCTGCTGCTGCTGAAACCTGGCTGTTTCCCTGCACTGTCGTTGATGTATATCTTTGTTGCTCCTTGCACTGTAGTCCTACTTCAACCTGGAGAAGGACCAGAAAGAAAAGGGTCTACAGGTCTTTGTGTGACACCTGCAAGGAGCGACGGAAAAGTGACCTAAAAGTCAGTGAAGGCTAATAACAGATGAGATGGAACTCTGTCCTGATGTGGAAGGCAGCTGTGTCTGGGACAACTCTGGGCTCAAGACGGAGTCCAAACACAGTCATGCCCAGAGTCGACACACGTGGGCCTGGGGTTGAAGGAGCGTAGCATCGCGAGAACCTGATAGCTCACTTCTCCTTTGCCACTGCTGCCATGGTCTGGCCCTGACAGGCACCTTGCCCGCTTTACCACCCACACTGAACGCAGCATAGCTCTGATCTGCACCCTGCTGGAATCTCCGGTTGTGTGATTGCAGCCACTGAGCAGATGTTTTTCTTTAAAAGCTCATGGCCTCCAGAAAGGCATACAGAGCTTCTCTCCTTCGGCAGAGGCTAGAAATACAGGGTTACAGCTCTTTCTAGGGTTCCATGGGATTCTGCCCCTCTGAGGTAGAGCCTCTGTGGTTTCTGCGACCCCCTTTCCAGGGCGTCCACGAGATGGACGCCAATCTCTCTTACGTCATGTTGCCAGCTGGACATCAACCAGTAAAGTCCTGCGTGATTTGATCTAAACTGATGTGGTACAGGAATGACACGTTTCCATTTTGGCCCGTTGAACGCAAGCCCTTCCGAAGACTTACGACTCTAAGTACATTAAAAATCAATATACTAGGATGTTTTCCAATATAAATTTATACCGATAAACCGGTCGAATACATTGACCCGCCTTATTCGCGTAGTATTGCCGTAAGAATACGAAACGTGTTGAAATTTAAAGGCGAAACGTTAAGTTTAAATATAACTGATTTCTATGAAGTTTTATCATGGTTTTCCAATCCATATTCGATAAAAATAAATTCAGATTAAGTGAGTTATGGAGTGCCACTGAATTTTTTTAATGATAAACACTTGCTTGAATTTATTGTAATATAACGCGCGCGGTGATTTAGAATATTTCACTTGTATAATTCCGAATTAATCTTTAAAAAAAAAAACATGGTTAAGCGTGTGACCGCAAAACGCTACGGGGCTCTCCTCCTCTGACGGGGCGTATAAGGACTGGGAGCTGCAGTACGTCTCACTGGAGACAGAGGAAGTGAAGATCTCCACCTTCTTACCCGGTGAGTGCGCTCGTTATTATGGCCCTACTCATGTATTCAGGCATATCATAACCCTGAGGATGCTCCGTATTATTGGCCTTATAATGCATTTGTGGCAAAGGCAGTGGCGGTTCTAGACCACTTCATATTTGGGAGGGGGACAGACTGGGGCCAGTTGTTATGTTGGGGGGGGGGGGGAGCAGACGTATTACTTACACTAGATTGCCAGCATTAAGCAAAACACAATTTTGAAAACCGATAATTTATTTATGCAGTGCTTTGCAGTTACATTGTACAGTTTTTACAAACATGTAACTTACTCTGATCTCTTGTTTAAACTGTCTTGCTTCCACAAGCTTGACTATTTTTTTCTGTCGTTAACTTTGTGTTTCGCCTGTTTCCAGCGCACAGTTTTAGCCTCACATATAAAGGTAACTGTAAATCATAATTATAATAATAATAAATAATAAGAAATCTATTCTGCTCTATATAAGACCCAAGCAGCATACGTATTTGGGGGGCCAGGGGGGGTATGCATATTGTCACGGGGGCACTGCCCCCCTGCCCACCCCAGGACCACCGCTGGGCATAGGTAAACCTAGAAGAATAAACGTGAGTGTCGAAGTTGATCATATAGAAGATGCAGGACAGAATATTGCCTGCGTGGTGTTTCGGGACCTGGCTCTAAATGTCTAAGTGCAGTTTCATTTCTATGGATTACAGGTAATTTGCCGCTTTCTTCTGAAGTTCTTAAATCTGCCAATGGAACAATCAGGTAGGCTGTGGTACTAAAATTGTCTTTTGTTACAAAGTGTACAACAAAAGTAAATAGACAAAAGTCTGTCAAACGAGCTAACTTTAGTTTCCATTTCTTCTTTTCATCCGTTTTCTCACGCCACTGGCTACCTTTAGGTTTCGATTTCTCAAGTATCGATTCCCTTTTCATTTCCTTGCTTTCAAAAAATGTAACCGCCTGGCGCTTTTCCGGTGGTGAATCGAGCGCTAATGAACCTCCTTAGTGAATTTTTTAAAGTAAAACTTTGAGATTGCATCCGCAATACTATAACATATAAAGCTAATATAATTGAATGCCACAGAGTTTCACTCGTATTTAATTGTTTAATTTACTTGGATTTTGCATTTTATCAGCTTCAGATAAAGCTAACCTTCTTGCACCCAATAACTATATTTTTTAAACAGACTCAAGGTGTCCTGCCGGACTGCAATACCTGACTCAGGTAAGACTGTACCAAATGACATCAGATCCACTCCTGCACCATTTACACCTACGGGCAATTTGGCAGCTCCGATTAACCTCAACATGTTTTGGACTATGGGGGGG